GAGTCAGTTTCTTCCTGCAGCCCCAGCTGGTCTGGAACTCTCTGTGTAGATGACAGTGGCTCTAATCATTCATTAATAGGACCACCTTTGCCTCTCCAATGCTGGGATTAAAGGTGTGTGCTACCACACCCAGCCAGAGTAAAACCAATTTGTTTTGTTTTGTTTTGGTCTTCTTGAGGCAAAGGCCCCCTCCAGCCCCAGCTGGCCTGGAACTCACAGAGATCTACCTGCCTCTGCCTCTGTAGTGCTGGGATTAAAGGCGTGTGCCACCACACCCAACGAGTAAAGCTAATTTTAAAAAAGTTCCTTAAACTTATAAAGTTTCCTTACTTGAGAAACCATACCAAGTATATGAAGACATGTCACTATGCTATTTTAAAGAAAAAGAACATTCTACAGACTTCCAGTTGAAGGCTGGGAAAAGACAAGAATTGGAATTAACATTTATTTATTTTTATTATTTATTTATTTATGTATGTATGTATTTATTTATTTATCATTTATCTTGAGATAGGGTCTCACTTAGCCTAGACAGGCTTGGAATTTGTTAAGTATCTGAGGATGACCTTGAACAGCCTCCTGTCCCCACTACCCTAGTGCTGGGATTACAAGTGTAAATTACCACACCCTGCTTTTTGCTATGTTGGGGATCAAACTCAGGGCTTCCTAAGTACTAAGTAAGCACTCTACCAATTGAGCTTCATCTCCAGCCCTGAAATTAACTTTTAAAAGATCAGAATAGAGCTGGGGATATAGCTCAGTAGTAGAGCACTTTCCTAAAAGTAGACCACCCTAGGTTCAATCCCCAGCAATTCAAAAATGAACAAGGAAGCTCATAATAGAGGACTGTAAAGGAATATTTCTGAAATTCTTTTAGTTTTTTTTAAGTTTCATTTTAAAAAGTACATTTATTTTACTTGGGGGTGGCATGCACATATCACAGCATGTGTGTTGAGATCAGAGGACACCTAGCAAGAATTTGTTCTCTTTTTCCATCTTGTGACTTGGGGAATCAACTCAGGTCGTCAGGTTTGGCAACAAAAGGCCAGACCATCTTACTGGCCCTTGAAATTCTTAAGAAAAATAAACCATGGTAGCACATGCCTGTAATCCCAGCACTCAGGAAGCAGAGGCAGGTAGGTAGATCTCTGAGTTCCAGGCTAGCCTGGGCTACATAATAGAACATTTCAAACAAACAAAAAATATTAATATCCACACTGATATTCTTTACCTAGTTAAACAATTACATGTAGCAGTGGAGCCAAGCAAGGCATTCTGAAACATGCCAGTCTTGATCCTTTCCTAGGAAACTATAGGAAGCTGGCTGCCTGGCAGTGGTTAGGAAGGAAAGGCGGGGGAGAATTCTGGACCAGGGAAGCTGGCTTCACCCTGGGAGAGCAGGGCAGTGCATCTTCAGGCTGATGGGGCAGCCTGTATCAGGGGGAGCAGGTCAGAGACCCGTAGGGAGGTAGGTCAAGAGGGTGGCCTCCATCAAATACTGAAGTTTATCAGCTTCTGGGAAGAATTAGACAACTCCGGGTAAACTGGGGACCAAAGCAGGGTGTGGTAGTGTATGCCTTTAATCCCAGCATGCTGGGGGGGCAGGATCTCTGTGAATTCTAGACCAGTCCGGGCTACATAGTGAGAACATGTATTAAAA